GATTGTTCATGCCATATCAAACACTGCATACAAATAATCTCGAATGTAAAGGGTCACGAATTCTATGAAGCCAATGGAACAAAAGGCAATAGAAAATAGGACTATTGACAGAGTTAAGCAATAAAAAATTTTATTTAATTATTATACTTTTTATATTAATTAGTATTAAAAAAATAATTAATTTTTATTTAAATAAATTATTTAATTAAAATCTTATGATATTGTATATAATAAAACACATAATTTATATAAACACCAACGGAAGCGGCCCGTGAACGGCCCATTCAGCTACAAACAGGCCACAAATCAAGCCCTTTGATGACTGGATGAGAGTGGGTAAATGGACGGAGTCTACATACCCTCCAATCAGGCCCAATGTACTCGACTAGAAATTAATTTGTAGAGTCCCAATTATTCTAAACTGGTTGTGCCGGCCCACACAATATGGGTTGTGCTGAAGGCCACCCGTCATTTCCTAATGGGCCTTGTGAATTGCAATACATGGCCCAACATCCGCTCTGCCACGTTGTGCTGGCCAAGTACAGTAGGCTTCATTTGTGATTGCTGCATACAAAACTCTTTACAAAATTGTATGGGAAAAGGAAAAATGCTACTGCTTCTAATAATAATTATACAATGAATTTGATAAAATTAGGATATATATTTTATTTTTTATATTTAATAATTGTGATTAAACCTCTTGACATTTTTAAAGTCAAGATATATTATTTTTTCTTTTCTCAAAATATATTATATAAAATTATTGTAATTAATTAATTTTAATTAATATTTTATATATTTCAATAATTTTAATTAATGTCTATATATTTTTAAAATTGAAAAAAAAGGACAAAAAACTCATAATTCACAAACATCACACAGCAATCTCAAACTCTTATACATTCTTATAGCATGAATTATATTATTTTTGGTGTTTTCTCAAGATACTTTATTAAAATAATATAATTTTAAGGTTTTTTTCTTAATTTTTAAAAGATAAAGTAGATAAATACTAAACATATATATAAGTAGGGATTCACTTATATGCAATTTTTTTACAATTTTTTAAATAAAAAGATAATTATTTTTAATAAATATAAATAAATCTCAATATTGAAAATGAAAAAATGAATGATTAACATTTTATACAATTGTAAAGTGTAAAATTTATATGTAAGTGAATCCCTTCTATGTATATATATATATATATATGAGGATAGTGTAGAATAAATTATCCTTCCAAAATTTTTTTTAAAAGTCTTATTTAAAAACTTATATTCTAATTAATATTTTCAATAACTGATCATTAGATTAAAAGTTTTATTCATATAAATCAAATATATTATTTTTTATATTGATCTAACACTTATAGTTCTTTGATTAAAAAAACTTTATTTACTAATATATATTAAATGTTATTAAATTTCCTTTAATTAACAAAGTGATTAAGTTTATTAGAATAATTTAAAAATTGACATACATAATTTATATGAATAAAAATTTCAATTCAATAATTAATTTTTAAAAATATTAATTAAAAAATTAACCTTTAGATAAATTCTCTTAAAAAATTTAAGAAAATAACTTGAAACACACATTTCTCTCTATAGATAATCTCAAACTGAACTCTACCAAACGGTTCGATGAGCCGCACGCCTCATTGAGAGAGGTGGGATGTTCACCATATTTGGAGATCAAATCTTCAATTACTAACAACTAATAAATATTAACCTAATAACCATTACTTTGTCAAAAAAAAAAAAAAAATCTCAAACTTTGATTAAATACCCGCCACCAATTTTGAAGACAATGGCTTTTAAGACATCCTTTTTCTTTCAATGCACAAAAACTTTTACCTAATACTTGATTTGACAAAACTTCGTTTCTATTTTTCTCATGTAATAATTTACATAAAAATATAATTTTTTTAATTTTCAATTATTTTTATTTTTTTATTAGTTTTTATTAAAAT